GTCATTTCAGTCACTATAGTAGCTGATGTGTATAGTGTTGAGTCATCTGCATACATATATACACTGGCTTTACTCAAACTTTGGTTTTCCTAGACATAGCTACTATATTATGATCACTACAGCCGATGGATTTGGATTCTGCTTTAAAGCACATTTCTGCAGCATTAGTAAAGATGTGATCAATACATGTTGATGATTTAATTCCTGTGCTGTTTGTAACTACCCTGGTAGGTTGACTGATAACCTGAACCAGGTTGCAGGCACTAGTTACAGTTTGAAGATATCTCTTGAGTGGGCAGCCTGATGAAAGCCAGTCAATATTTAAATCACCCAGACAATATACCTCTCTGTTGATATCACATACATTATCAAGCATTTCACACATGTTATCCAGATACTGACTGTTAGCACTTGGTGGTCTATAGCAGCTTCCCACCAGAATGGGCTTTAGGTGAGGCAGATGAACCTGTAGCCATATCACCTCAACAGTATTTAACATGAGATCCTCTCTAAGCTTTACAGGAATGTGGATCTGAATATATATGGCAACACCTCCACCGTTGGCATTTCTGTATTTTCTGTAGATGTTATAACCATGTATTGCTACCACTGTATCATCAAAGGTATTATCTAAGTGAGTTTCAGAGATTGTCAGAATATGAATGTCATCTGTTACCAGCAAATTATTGATTTCATGAACCTTCTTTCTTAAGTTACATATGTTAACGTGGGCTATTTTTAGCACTTTTCTGGGATGCTTGATTGTTTTCATTGCTTTACTAGGAAACTTTGCAGAAGTAGGCATGCTCAAGTTATTTATGTTAGTGCAGGGTGAGCTGCACACAGTGAACTTCCTACTAGCGCACACTGCCTCAGTGCTAACAGTATAACTCTGGTTCATAGGCACATGATTACTGCATACAATAGCTGTGGGATCAGCAGAGGCATTCAGGGCAGTAAGACGGACACACATTAGGTTACTTACATTGTGTCTTCCAACTCCCCTGGGATAATGTACTGTTTATCAAACAGTTTAGTAACTGGTTTCTTGTTTATAAAACACCCTTCTAGTTTGGTAACTGGTTTCCTGTTTATCGAACACCCTTCCAGTTTGGTAACTGGTTTCCTGTTTATCAAAGACCATTCCAGTTTGGTAACTGGTTTCCTATTTATCGAACACCCTTACAGTTTGGTAACTGGTTTCCTATTTATCGAACACCCTTACAGTTTGGTAACTGGTTTCCTGTTTATCAAAGACCCTTTCAGTTTGGTAACTGGTTTCCTATTTATCGAACACCCTTCCAGTTTGGTAACTGGTTTCCTGTTTATCAAAGACCATTCCAGTTTGCTAACTGGTTTCCTGTTTATCAAGCACCCTTCCAGTTTAGTAACTGGTTTCCTGTTTATAAAACACCCTTCTAGTTTGGTAACTGGTTTCCTGTTTATCGAACACCCTTCCAGTTTGGTAACTGGTTTCCTGTTTATCAAAGACCATTCCAGTTTGGTAACTGGTTTCCTGTTTATCGAACACCCTTCCAGTTTTGGTAACTGGTTTCCTGTTTATCGCACATTTCACACAGAAATGTAATTTGCTCTTAACAAATCTAACAGCCCTCACAGGTGAGAAACATTCATATTTGACACGCACACAAACTAATCACATGCGTGCACACCAATGCCACACACATACGCATGTACGCACACACACACAGACCCTGATATTGGAGGAGATAAAGGCACTAGGATTAATCCTCTGAGGGGTGAGACCAGGACGGGTAACGTTAGCCAATCAGTGTGAGACTCAGACTGAGAAGGAGGGAGCATTCGCCAGGCGGCCTACTTAAACAACTTCAGTGAGAGAAAACATCCCAAAACCCTGACCTACTTCTGAACTTTAGCCTGTTTTCTCTCCTGAAAGCTTGGCACAAAAAAAACAGCCCAGACAGGTCTTTATGTTCTCTCCCGCAGTGGATTACATGATATAATATATAATATAATTACATCAACACACACACACCGCTGTGGCACGGACTAGGTAATCAAAGATCCTTCCAGTTTGGTAACTGGTTTCCTGTTTATCAAAGGCCCTTCCAGTTTATTAACTGGTTTCCTGTTTATTAAAGACCCTTCCAGTTTGTTAACTGGTTTCCTGTTTATTAAAGACCCTTCCAGTTTGGTAAATGGTTTCCTGTTTATCAAGATCCTTCCAGTTTGGTAACTGGTTTCCTGTTTATCAAATATCTTCCAGTTTGGTAACTGCTTTCATGTTTATCAAAGACCCTTCCAGTTTGGTACTGGTTTCCTGTTTATCGCAAATTTCATACAGACATTTAAAATTGATCTCAACAAATTAAACAGCCCTAACAAGTGAGAGAGAAAAATTAATATTCGCGACAGATTTTCATGTGAATATTCTAAGATCTGCATTAAACGATATGCACATTTTCCCACCAGAGATGCGTTTCCATCAAACGGATTCATTGCAAATAAAAAAGGGTACGTGATAATGTAGTGCACATAAAAATAACTTTTGCCGTTAAATTCTGTACCGAATGAAAAATTTAATGGGTTTCCTTCGCATTTTCAACCCTACTGATGGTTTTGTCACAAAAATGGGAGGACCTCAGATCATATATCATCGCGTGACTCCAAGTTTACTTCTATATGATGGTTATTAAACTGAACAAAAACAAACGCAATAATTTCAACGATTTTACTGAGTTACAGTTCATATAAGTCAATTGAAATAAATTCATTAGGCCCTAATCTATGGATTTCACATGACTGGGAATACAGATATGCATCTGTTGGTCACAGATACCTTTTTTAAAAGGTAGGAGCGTTGATCAGAAAACCAGTAATTATCTGGTGTGACCAACATTTGCCTCATGCAGCACGACACATCTCCTTCGCATAGAGTTGAACAGGCTTTTGATTGTGGCCTGTGGAGCGTTGTCCCACTCCTCTTCAATGGCTGTGGGAAGTTGATGGATATTGGCCGGAACCGTGCACGTCGATCCAGAGCATCCCAAACATGCTCAATGGGTGACATGTTTGGTGAGTATGCAGGCCTTGGAAGAACTGGGACATTTTTAGCTTCCAGGAATTGTGTACAGATCCTTGCAACATGGAGCAGTGCATTATCATGCTGAAACATGAGGTGATGGCGGCGGATGAATGGCTCGACAATGGGCCTCAGGATCTCATCAAGGTATCTCTGTGCATTCAAATTGCCATCAATAAAATGCAATTGTGTTTGCCTGCCCATACCATAACCCCACTGCCACCATGGGGCACTCTGCTCACAACGTTGACATCAGCAAACCGCTCGCCCACATGACGCCATCTGCACGGTACAGTTGAAACCAAGATTCATCCGTGAAGAGCACACTTCTCCAGCGTGCCAGTGGCCATTGAAGGTGAGCATTTGCCCGCTGAAGTCGGTTACAACGCCGAACTGCAGTCAGATCAAGACCCGGGAGGTGAGGAGCACGCAGTTGAGCTTCCCTGAGACGGTTTCTGTCAGTTTGTGCAGAAATTCTTCGGTTGTGCAAACCCAGTTTCATCAGCTGTCCGGGTGGCTGGTCTCAGACAATACCGCAGGTCCTAGGCTGGCGTGGTTACACCTGGTCTGCGGTTGTGAGGCCGTTGGACATACTACCAAATTCTCTAAAACGACATTTGGGCCGCTTATGGTAGAGAAATTAACATTAAATTCTCAGGCAACAGCTCTGGTGGACATTCCTGCAGTCAGCATGCCAATTACACGCTCCCACAAAACATGAGACATCTGTGGCATTGAATTGGGTGACAAAACTGCACATTTTAGAGTGGCCTTTTATTGTCCCCAGCACAAGGTGCACCTGTGTAATGATCATGCTGTTTAATCAGCTTCTTGATATGCCACACCTGTCAGGTGGATGGATTATCTTGGCAAAGGAGAAATGCTCACTAACAGGAATGTTAAAAAAAATAGTGCACACCATTTTAGAGAAATAAGCTTTTTGTGCGTATGAAACATTTCTGGGATCTTATAAAATAATAATAATATAATATGCCATTTAGCAGACTCATGAAACATGGGACCAACACATTACATGTTGCGTTTATATTTTTGTTCAGTGTATATCAATATTTGCGCATAAAGGCATTTCCAACGTCATTTTACAGACACAAAAAGATCCCACCATGTCGAACAAACAAATTGTCTGTAGGCATTTATAAAATTGTACCGGCATATCCTGTTTCCATCAGTCCAGTTTTTTTTCTCTCCATGCGTTAGGTAATTCATCCGCATGGAATGGTTGGATGGAAACCTGGTTACTGACACACACACACACACACACACACACACACACACACACACACACACACACACACACACACACACACACACACACACACACACACACACACACACACACACACACACCCTGATATTGGAGGAGATAAAGGCACTAGGATTAATCCTCTGAGGGGTGAGACCAGGACGGGTAACGTTAGCCAATCAGTGTGAGACTCAGACTGAGAAGGAGGGAGCATTCGCCAGGCGGCCTACTTAAACAACTTCAGTGAGAGAAAACATCCCAAAACCCTGACCTACTTCTGAACTTTAGCCTGTTTTCTCTCCTGAAAGCTTGGCACCAAAAAAAACATGATAAGATACAAGAAAAAAAGAACTCTGCAACTTAACAGCCCAGACAGGTCTTTATGTTCTCTCCCGCAGTGGATTACATCAACACACACACACACACACACACACACGAAAAGGTGTGGGCAATATCTTGATTTCAACTGGTTAATGTGTATTTCAGATCTAATTTGAAATATATCACATGCAGTCTAGCCCATCAGAATATATTGGCAGTAGCCATATAAATATAATTAATAAAACAGATTGCCGAGTGCCTTTGCACCTTCTAGTCATTCTATTTCTATTGCAGTAGTCTGGGGACAGACAGTCTGTCAGCCACCGAGCTGAACAGCATCCTGTTCGCTCGCTTGCACACACACACACCTGAAGTAGCATCCTGTTAGTGTTTATCTTTTGAGAGGGAGAGGGGGGATGAGGACAGCTCCAACCCCCTCCAGCCTGCTGGCTGTCTTCTCCTGGATCTGTTCCCGCTTGGCCTGCCTCATCTGCCCCAGTTCCCCCAGCAGGAGGCCCTCTCTCTGCTGCAGCTCGACGATCAGTGAGGAGGCCTGTACTTGGACCCTCACTGTGCCTGTCCCAGACACCCTTCCTGGCAGCACTGCCCCATCACAGGCTTGTAGGAGCACAGACCCTGGCCTACGATGCCGGTGGTGGTTGGGAAGTGGCTGTGGCCCCTGGAGACTTGGCCTGTAACTGCAGCAAAAAGATGTAGGGGTTGAAGTATTGGGCTCAGCCAAGCCCTGTAGCCTGAGAGCCACTCTCCTCTCAATCTCCTCCAACTCCTCAACGTCTTTAAGAACACTCTGCGCTTTTCTGGTCTGTCGGGAAAGAAGAAATGAAACATTGACAAACAGTCAAGTGAAATTAATTGCTGGATAACGCTGCCTCTTTCAGTATATCATCTGAGACAATTACTTCTTACTAAAATGTTTTTATCTCTAAAACAAATGACAGCTAGGCCCCGGCAGCATTTCATGAACACTGATGACTCTCATGGGGAAGGAGTGTGTGATGCGTGTGCCTGTGCTTACGCATGAGTGCATTCATGAGCGATAACGGGTGAGAATTTGGCAGACATTTTGATATTGCACCAGACACTTCACACATTAGTGTCGAGAGAGAGAGAATGAACGAGAGAGAATAATTGATGTAGCCTATATTATTAGGTGACCTAGATGTGCTGATTGTGGGGTTGGTAATAATTCCCAGCTGTATCAGTGTAATGATATGAATAAAAGTGGAAGCTATGCAAGCCTAGAGTCTGGAGAGAAGCAATAAGCAAATAGGCAATATAGCATAATGAAATGTAATGCTGCTCACAAAAGCGCAGATTTAGGCATTCATATTCCAAATGAAAGAGCTCAATACATAAGACACTTCAATTGACAAAATTATTCCTGAAAATGATTTCCCAAAGAAAACCAGCGAGAGAGAGAGGAACAGGAGCACAGATTGCCATCAGACACACTCCCACTTGTACTGCATAACGCAAGTCCTCCAGAACATTGAAGTTCCCTCTTTTTGTTCTGACAAATTATCTTTCTCAAATGTCCTAAAAAAAGAAATCCTCTCCTCTCCTCCTTCAGTCCAATGACCTGAAAGAACTGATGAGGTGAAAGCCAATCTAATGATGAGCTTCCACCATATTGTTTTCACCTGTCCGGTCTTTTCCAATCAGTGAAGACAGGAGATGAGGAGAGGATGGAATTTCAGACTATTTATAAAAAGCCAACCAGCCAAATGCCTATTCCCTGCCAGTTGGTACTCACCTGCCGTGTGAGGGCGTGTCTTACCTGTCTTGTGTGTGTGTCCTTCAGCCCTGTCTGCAGCCTCAGCAGCATATTGTCCAGTCGTTCCAGACCCTCCTTGTCCTTGTAACTGTAGGGAAAGCACCTATTGACAACCTGGTGTACAGGTGACATGTTCTCCACAGTGTCCTCCTCTCTCAGGTCTGAGAGCTGGCTATCCACCACACTATCCTACAGAGAGAGGGAGGGGGAAAGGGAGGAAGGAGAGAGGAGAGAAGGAAAGAGAGGGTTGAGAAAGAGAGAAAAAGAGAGTAATGCCTCAAGAGTTTTGTTATTAAATGAAAGCTACAATATGTAACCTTTTGGGTGACCCGACCAAATTCACATAGAAATGTTGTTATAGAGCTGTCATTCTCATTGAAAGCAAGTCTAAGAAACGGTAGATCTGTTCTATGTGCGCTACTTCTATGCTTCCCGTTCTTAAGTTTCGGTATTGTACACCAGCTTCAAACAGCTGAAAATACAATATTTTTTGTTAAGGGAAAATATATTTCACAGCGGTTTAGGTGGTACAATGATTCTCTACACTACACTTGCTTGTTTTGTCACATAAACTGAAATTAGGCAAACCAGGAAATGGCGTGTAATAATAACAAAACCCTTGATTTTCTCTGAGCTCCTCCTTTCACTCTATGCTGCAATCAGGAGCTTTTGTCAGGATCAGACTTCCTGTGTAATTGCAGCTCTCGTCCAATATTGATCCATGTGGGTCTAGTGCTAATCAAAAGCCCAGCAGCAGCCTCCCTCAGGCAGAGTCCAGAAACAGACATACTCAAGGCGCCGTCCCAAATGGCACCATATGGGGCCCTGGTCAAAAGTAGTATGCTATATAGGGAATAGGGTTCCATTTGGGACGCATCCCATGACTGTGAGGATGAATGAACTCCATACAGGCTTATGGCAGACTCTCTACACTAACCCTCCAACAGATAATGATACATCATAGACCAGGTCCTGGAGTCTCCATACATTCAACACATACACTGAACAAAATATAAACGCAACATGTAAAGTGTTGGTCCCACGTTTCATGAGCTGAAATAAAAGATCCCAGAAATGTTACATATGCACAAAAAGCTTCTTTCTCAAATATGTTGTGCACAAATTTGTTTCCATCCCTGTTACTGAGCATTTCTCCTTTGCCAAGATAATCCATCTACCTAACAGGTGTAGTATATCAAGAAGCTGATTAAACCGCATGATCATTACACAGGTGCACCTGGTGCTGGGGACAATAAGGCCACTCTAAAATATGCCGTTTTTTCACACAACCGGCATCTTCACCTGCGGGATCATCTGAGACCAGCCACCCGGACAGCTGATGAAACTGTGGATTTTCACAACTGAAGAATTTCTGCACAAACTATCAGAAACCGTCTCAGGGAAGCTCATCTGCGTGCTTGTCGTCCTCACCAGGGTCTTGACCTGACTGCAGTTCGGCGTCGTCACCGACTTCAGTGGGCAAATGCTCACCTTCGACGGCCACTGGCACGCGGGAGAAGTGTGCTCTTCACAGATGAATACCAGTTTCAACAGTACTGGGCAGATGTCAGCGTTTACGGCGTCGTGTGTGCGAGCGGTTTGCTGATGTCAACGTTGTGAACAGAGTGCCCCATGGTGGTGGTGGGGTTATGGTATGGGCAAGCATAAGCTACGGACAATGAACACTATTGTATTTTACCGATGGCAATTTGAATGCACAGAAATACCATGATGAGATCCATTGTTGTGCCATTCATCTGCTGCCATCACCTCTTGTTTCAATATGATAATGCACGGCCCCATGTTGCAAGGATCTGTACACAATTCCTGGAAGCTGATAATGTCCCAGTTCTTCCACGGCTTGCATACTCACCAGACATGTCACCCATTGAGCATGTTTGGGATGCTCTGGATCGACGTGTACGACAGCGTGTTCCAGTTCGGGCCAATATCCAGCAACTTCGTACAGCCATTGAAGAGGAGTGGGACAACGTTCCACAGGCCACAATCAACAGCTTGATCAACTCTATGCGAAGAAGATGTGGCGCCCTGCATGAGGCAAATTGTGGTCACACCAGATACTGACTGGTTTTCTGATCCACGCCCTACTTTATATATTTCTAAGGTATCTGTGACCAACAGATGCATATCTGTATTCTCAGTAGGGCTGACCCCGACCCAAAAAAATCTTGGTAGACCAGGAGTCGATTGGTTGACATTTTTTACATGTGCATTTTTCTATTGATATAGATAGATATATATATATATATATACACACATACATACATACATACACATCCTGTGTTTTAATTAAATCAACTATATGCACTAAGCTTGTCTGATGCTTTAAGCACAATGTTTGGTTAAATAATTAAGACACACAAATGACTAGAGGGAGCCGAAAGCAACCGATTTGATTGTGCCGCCTGGCTCAGACTTGCTGCTCTGTGTAAAAGAAAAATGACAGCGAGTGACTGTGTGCCTAGCACCCGTTGTCTCTCTCTCCTCCCTGCTGCAGCGACCACCACAGAACATCAGTGTGTATAGGGCTGTCCGTGTTGCTGAACCTGCAACATAATTAGAGCCATTTCTGAATGAAAAGTTGTTACCGATATCCCTAATTTGTTTAGGAAAAACATTCCCTATTCCCTCAACCCTTGCTCTCTTTACGTGAAACATGTAAGCATTGCATGCGACCAAGAGGGCCTGACCTATAGCCTATCATAATCACATCAATAAATTGGTTATAACAAACTCCGAACACAGTAATGTCGACAGCAAAATCGATGCGGAGGACGTGAAAAAGAAACTAGAAACGGGCAAATGTTTACTGGTTTGCTCAGGAGGGAAAGGGGAAGTCAGATTTGTGGAAGACATTTGACTTAGTTGTGGAAACTACTGGAGATCAAGAAAAAGGAGGGTATAGTAGCAAGCACTGCGTGAGTAGTGTGTGCCAAACAGTTGCTGTTAGATTTTCAATATTATTATTTTTTCTTACCATTTGGAACAGTGTAAACAACACAAAATAAATAAGTGTATCAGAGAGTCCGTTCTAACAACAACAAAAATATATATAAAGCCTTTATTACAGCAGACTAAAAACAGTTGCACGCATTCCTGAATTGCGGTTTATTTATTGTTTAGGCTAATTATTCATTTTTTTACATTTTAGTCATTTAGCAGACGCTCTTATCCAGAGCGACTTACAGTTAGTGAGTGCATACATTTTCATACTGGCCCCCCGTGGGAAACGAACCCACAACCCTGGCGTTGCAAGCACCATGCTCTACCAACTGAGCTACAGGGGACCTTCAAAGCTCCTTTTGTTATTTAATTTAAAACTAAAATGTTTGATTGCATTTCAAAGCATGAATGTTCAATGCTGTGCATGAACGAATGAATGATTGATTGATACAGTAGCCTATATATTAAATTATAGGCCTAAGTAAGTTACGGTATTAAGACTAAACAGGATGTGCTCTTAGGCCTACAGCTCGATGGTGGTTATACAAGACTACTCTACAAAGTCCTACTAATGATAATGACATTACTTATTATTATAATGATGATCATAATAATAACTGTAATAATAACAATAAGAAGGAGATCTAGAGAGAGTAGGGTATAGGAGCGAGAGCTGTGTGCATACTATGTGTGACAAACAGGTGCTGTTAGATTACAATAATTTTTCTGCCTGTTTGGAACAGTGTAAACAACACTAAATACATTATAAGTATTACCAGTCTGTTCTAACGAAAACAAATTGTGAAGCCTTTATTACAGCATAGAAAAGATTAAAAACAGCAGAATCTGTGAAATTGCTTTATCCGACATTGCTGTTGCGTGAGGCTTGGTGCTCACGGAATCAGTAGGCTATTAAACAAACACTCGAACAGGCAACAGAAGCAAGACCTGTCTTATTTATGTTGATATATATGGATGATTTATAAAGCCAGGCACATTTAACAGTTAGGCTATTGATTATAGAACTAATTAAGTTGGGGTTTGCCCTCTCCTCAATTTTCTTAGACAATTAGGCTAAGCCCTATTGACATGGGACTAGTATTACTAGAGAACATTGGTTATGTAATTATTACCTCGGAATGTCCACTATTCCAGAGGACGATTCAAACGGGATTCGTTTTTTCCAAACTGCCCCCTGTAATTCTTAATTTTTTTCCAATAAATTGACAGTTATGACGGAAGCCTGGAGGTTTTTTTCTAGGCGATAACATGGCTACACTGATAACTCAAGCTTGGATCCCAAGTTTCTAAACCATCTTTGGTAAAGTGTCACCATAATATTTGAATTGAGGAAGTGTGATCATAATCATTAGGATATTTTAGCGATCCCCAGTAGACCTCCTAAATATCCCCCCAGCCTTCAGATGTGAGCTAAACAGTGCAATTGCACTTGAGATGCGTTTTAAGGCTATGGATGAGAAAGTTAACTCATAATTTCCAAACATTTAGGTCAGTTGTATGCTGCTTTGCGATCTATTAACAGCGCAATATTCTTTACTGATGCATTTGGCAATATTCAATTCATAAGCACAAAACATATTTTAAAAAGCATTCACTGAAAGTTGATACATGTAGGCCCTTCATATATAGTTTATGCGCAGCACTTCCTTCAATTTATCGAATCAGTTGGTTTTTTCTTACTCAAACTGTGAGCAACACCTGCCAAACGCAGACATTTCTCTCAAAACACAGGGATGTTGATTCGCACAGTACTAGTATTATCAGAGGACCTTGAAGTTCACCAAAAAACAGTAGGTTACTCTAGTTGGAATTGTTACTCTCCTGTCATGTATAAATAACTGACACGGCAGATTCGGACCTGACTAAAATGACAGAAGTGGTGTTTTGTGCTTGTGCACATAATTACATTACCCGACTCTCCCAGTAAAACAAATCACATCCGAATAGGGTTTAAGGCAAGGGATGTTTCCTCGTCTCTGCTGCTGCTGCCTCCGCCACATTGTTCTCAATCCCAATATACTGGTTCATTTAGCTATTATGCACATAGCAACATAGGGAAAGGTGCCAATTCTACGGCGCACTGAAGATTATGTTTCAGAACGGCAGACAGTGACCATATCCAACGCGGGCGAAAGCGCATTTGTTATTTTAGTCCTCTGCTCTTGTCCTTCTAGACCCGTCTGCTGCCTTTGATACAGTGAACCATCAGATCCTCCTCTCCACCCTCTCCGAGCTGGGCATCTCCGGCGCGGCTCACTCCTGGATTGCGTCCTACCTGACCGGTCACCCCTACCAAGTGGCGTGGCGAGAAGCTGTCTCCGCACCACGTGCTCTCACCACTGGTGTCCCCCAGGGCTCAGTTCTAGGCCCTCTCCTTTTCTCCCTATACACCAAGTCACTTGGCTCTGTCATATCCTCACATGGCCTGTCCTATCATTGCTACGCTGACGATACACAACTAATCTTCTCCTTTCCCCCTTCTGATAACCAGGTGGCGAATCGCATCTCTGCATGTCTGGCCGACATATCAGTATGGATGACGGATCACCACCTCAAGCTGAACCCTGGCAAGACGGAGCTGCTCTTCCTCCCGGGGAAGGACTGCGCGTTCCATGATCTCGCCATCACGGTTGACAACTCCGTTGTGTCCTCCTCCCAGAGTGCGAAGAGCCTTGGCGTGACCCTGGACAACACCCTGTCGTTCTCCGCTAACATCAAGGCGGTGACCCGATCCTGCAGGTTCATGCTCTACAACATTCGGAGAGTACGACCCTGCCTTACACAGGAAGCGGCACAGGTCCTAATCCAGGCACTTGTCATCTCCCGTCTGGATTACTGCAACTCGCTGTTGGCTGGGCTCCCTGCCTGTGCCATTAAACCCCTACAACTCATCCAGAATGCCGCAGCCCGTCTGGTGTTCAACCTTCCCAAGTTCTCTCACGTCACCCCCCTCCTCCGCACACTCCACTGGCTTCCAGTTGAAGCTCGCATCCGTTACAAGACCATGGTGCTTGCCTATGGAGCAGTGAGGGGAACGGCACCTCCGTACCTTCAGGCTCTGATCAGTCCCTACACCCAAACGAGGGCATTGCGTTCATCCACCTCTGGCCTGCTGGCTCCCCTTCCTCTGCGCAAGCATAGTTCCCGCTCAGCCCAGTCAAAACTGTTCGCTGCTCTGGCACCCCAATGGTGGAACAAGCTCCCTCACGACGCCAGGACAGCAGAGTCACTCACCACCTTCCGGAGACATTTGAAACCCCACCTCTTTAAGGAACACCTGGGATAGGATAAAGTAATCCTTCTACCCCTCCACCCCCCCCAAAAAAAAAAAAAAAAATAGGATAATTGTAAAGTGGTTATCCCACTGGCTATAGGGTGAATGCAAAATATTAGATTTATTAGTGTTGCACCATTATTCTTACATAATATAACCATTTACAATCTCAGTATAAAATAGAGTGATGGACTGTGCCATTCACGTGGCCTCCGCAATGGATTAGTCGACTGAGACAGGCGAGAATCAGACAGGTGTCTTGTGCACCATAAAAAAATTACAAAAATCTCAGTCAACCAACAGCCTATCGACCAAACAATCAACTAAATGGGGTCAGCCCTAGTTGTAAAGTTTTTTTCTAAAGTCTTTATTACAGTAAAGACTAAAAACTGTCACATTTATTTGTGAATGTAATTTCCGAAAATTGAACAAATTAAGCCTATTTATTGTTTACACTAATTATTCAATGGTCACTTTGTTATTTTATTTTAAAACTAAAATGCTTGATTGCATTTCAAATCATGAATGACTCGTATGCTGTGTGATGATATGAATGAATAATTGATTGATACAGTAGCCTATATAAGTATTGAAATATAGGCCTAAGTAAGTTACGGTATCAATACTAAACAGGATGCACTCTTGGGCATACAGCTCCATGATGGTTTTACAAGGCTGTGATACTAAGACTACTAATGATAATGACATTACTTATTATTATAATGATGATCATATAATAATAATAATAATAATAATAATAATAACAACAATAAGAAGGAGATCAAGGAAAAAGGAGTGTTATTATTATAAATATAGTTTTTCTACTATTTGGAACAGTGTAAACACTAAATCAATTATAAATAATACCAGTGAGGCTGTTCTAACAAAAAAAAGTGTAAAGCTTTTACTACAGCACAGCAAAGATTAAAAACTGCCAGATTTGTGAAATTGTTGCGTGAGGCTTGGTGCTCACGGAATCAGTAGGCTATTAAACAAACACTCAAACAGGCAACAGAAGCAGCATCTGTCTTATTTATGTTGATATATATGGATGATTTAAAAACCCAGGCACATTTAACAGTTAGGCTATTGATTATAGACCTAATTAAGTTGGGGTTTCCTCTCTCCTCACTTTTCTTAGACAATAAGGCAAGGGCTGTTTTCTCATCTCCTCATTTTGCTGCTGCCTCCATTGTTCTCAACACCAATATGCTGGTTAACTTTGCTATTATGCACATAGCAACATGGTCTAGGAAAAGGCGCCAATTCAACAGCGCCCTGATGTGTTTAAGAACCGTGGACAGCGACCACTATCCAGCGAGGGAGAAAGCGCATTTGTTATAAAATAATTTGTTGCACCATTGTTCTTCCATAATATAACCATTTACAATTTCAGTATCACATGTCTTAGAGTGATGGACTGTGCCATCCCTGTGGCCTCCACAATGGATCAGTCCACTCTGACAGGAGCCAATCAGACAGGTGTCTTGTACACCATTATAATTTTTTTGCTACTGCTGGACTAAAGAAATCTCAGTCGACCAACAGCCTACCGACCAAACAATCCACCAGTCAACTAAATGGGTTCAGCCCTAATTCCCAGTCATATGAAATCCATAGATTAGCCAAAACGGATTTCCTTATATGAACTGTAACACAGTAAAAATGTTGTTCAGTGTATTATAAACTGGGTACTATGGGTCCTGTATGCTGATTGGCTGAAACAGCATTTCTGCCATTTGCATGTCAGATAAAATATACCACTGCTATGATGCTAAAATATTTATGTTCGTAACCAGTTTATTATTCCTCCTATAGGTCTCCAGTAGAGCTTGAAATTAGTAAATTCTGAAACTGATCATTAATTCACATTTGATCTATATAAAATCTTGAAAGTTATTCCCAGATATGCAAAAAAAAAATGTTTTAACCTATTTTCAAGCGATAAGACAGTGAACAGCAACACTAGCGAGTTAACAATTGGGACGTATTACATTTCTCACCAAAGGTAACAAAGGCTTTATTTTTTTATTTAAAATGGAATGGCTTTGAGGTGGATTAAAGTACTAGCTTAAATTATTTTCACATTACTGTAATCGACTGCACTTTAGCTGAAAACCCTAGGAGTCCGACTGTGGGTTTCAAACATACTGATAGAAACACCATGAAAGGAAGCGGTTTTTGTTTTACTTTAGGGAAAACACTCAAAGGACTTCTGATACATGTATTTCTAATGAAACTGCACTTCATTTTGAACTATCACAATCCTCAAATCCACATCTCTGTGATCTGAATGCAAAGAGGGAAGCAGAGTAGAGTGACTATTGCCAAAAACATCTCCTCTCCATGGAGCCTCTCTTTATAACTTCATGTCAATCTGAATAAGTCAGACAGACTTCAGAGATTAGACCTCAGAACAGTAGTGAATCATTCTGTCAGACACTGCAGAGGTAGTTAAGGAGTGGGAGGAAGAGGATACAGGTAGACGCAGACTACCTTGAAACTTTTCAAAGGTACTACCGGGAAAGAGCAGATTAGAAGGAGGCTATTAGTTGCTTAATAATAATGTTGGTTTTCCTTTAAAAAAACTAAATGACATGCAAAACCTAGTCAAGTACAATGTGTAGAGTAGACAGAACATATTAAAGGACTGGTTAAAAGCAGTGCTAAGGCACTGAGGAGAGAGAAGAAGCTCTACCACTACCATCCAGCACCAGAAGAGTGGCTCCTGTCTCTTCCACTCCAGGTAGGCCTCCAACAGCTGACTGAGAGCCTGTAGACCCTCCACCTCCTGCAACACACAGACAGACGGGGGACATTCCTTTAACCCAGCCTGCCTCACTCACTGTGCAACACACACAGACAGGAGACATTCAGCTCATAATTAATGCTCTCAAAAACCCTGATTGGTTTAACAATGTTACCTGTCTTGTCTTTTCTTCAAAACATCTGCATGTTTATTTGATTTAATCTGCTACTGAGCTGAGCTCTATGGCCTACTTTAGTTTCTGCCAGGCATGTTTCCCTGAGTGTTACTCCATCTCCCCAGGTGCAGGTAGTTACTGACTCTCCCCTGTGTGTTCTTGATGTGTTGCTAATATTATAATAATATATGCCATTTAGCAGACGCTTTTATCCAAAGCGACTTACAGTCATGTGTACACACATTTTAAGAACGGGTGGTTCCGGGAATCGAACCCACTACCCTGGCGTTGCATGCGCCATACTCTACCAACTAGTGTTACACGGTATACCAAAACCTCTGTAATTTTTCGATACAAAAACATGGTTCGGTACTATAATTTTTGTTATGTTTGGTACTTCTGTCAAATGTGTCTCACGTGATTGAGAGGATCAAGTGTGTCGATCAGTGCAGCCCTTTTATAGTGTGAAGAGCAAAGTACCTGCTCCTCTTCCTCAATCATTACTAGAGTTGTCTGGGCTGCATTACCTCCCCACTCATGATGCACAGAGGTTAACATGCTTGAATAATGCAACAAGGTATGTAGAAATACTGAAACTGTTCATTACTGTTTGCAGAACAATGTCCATACAGGCTAGAACACTTACAATGCAAGACGATAGCGGTAGCTTCCAGCTTTAATTGTAGGCTAACTTTCCTTGTTAGCTTAGGCTACATTTACATTGACATTGTAGTCATTTAGCAGACGCTCTTTTTCAGAGCAACTTACAGTTAGTGAATGCATACATGTATTATTCTTTTATTTTTTCATACAAACCCACATCCCTGCCGGCCAAACCCTCCCCTACCTTGGACGACAGCTGAATTCACTACCCTAGTACTTTGTTTGTGACCATAATATGCGGATTTCAAAGCTGATTTTCACCGAAAATGTTATTAATTCACTTCCGTCTCCCTCACCACCAAAAACTCATTCACTTCATCTCCCTCGCCTCCCGTCTGGTTTCCACTAGATTCCATAGCCAAAGTCAGATTCCACAGCCACATTCTGCCTTGCAAATGACGTCATTACTTTCTTAAAGAGACTATGCACACTTTCATTAAATAAGAGATTGCTTCTTCTATGCAAATGTTGTTGATCAGTACAATAAAATAAAATGTTCTCCTAGCAGTTGCCAATAAAATAAGTCCTAAATGGAAGGGATTGTTTGTCATCTGTAGCCCCATGAAATCAGCTAAAACAAGCTCAATAACTCAATGCATGCACACACTATTGAATACTTTGCATTACCTGTATTATGAATAGACCTAGGCTAAATCTTGATTTACCCAGGTATTTTGTATTTATTTTTGTACTTTTACCCCTTTTTCTCCTCAATTTCGTGATATCCAATTGGTAGTTGTCCAATCGCTGCAACTCCCGTACGGAGAGGCGAAGGTCGAGAGCCATGCGTCCTCCAAAACAAGACCCTGCCAAGCCGCACTGCTTCTTGACACACTGCTCGCTTAACCCGGAAGCCACCCGCACCAATGTGTCGGAGGAAACACTGTACAACTGGCGACCGAAGTCAGCTTGCAGGCGCACGGCCCGCCACAAGGAATCGCTACAGCACGATGGCACAAGGAAATCCAGGCCGGCCATACCCTCCCCTGACCCGGACGAAATAAATGATTACCATTATGTTGTTTTGTAGTTAGATTGGTAAAAAACAAAGTCAAATTGAATGTATGATTGTATAATTGATTCAATGAATGTCTCTTTTTCTTCAAATGTAATGATATTGAACTCAAAAGACACCCAACGACTGAAGAGAGCAGTAGCTGAGTTTATCTGTCTGGATCAATTGCCATTCTGTGACTTTGGCTAATCCACCTTTTTTTGTGTGGTATCGATTATCGTGATGGTATCGAGTATTGTGATACTAAACCTGGTATCGAAGTCAAAATTCTGTTATCGTGACAACACTACTACCAACTGAGCTACAGAGGACACCAGTGCTCCCTGGCTGGCATTGGTACAAAGTACTGTGTCGGTCAAGGGCTAAGTAAGGGTACAGGATGATCCTCCCTGTGGAGCTTTCCAGCTATTAGAGAAACAAAGGAGGTAAGATCTCTCTCTCTCTCTCTCTGGCTCCGTCTCTGCACATCACTCACATCTCTCCCAGGAGGGCTGCACCAGGGCCTTCACTACTTATAGGGTCAAAACACACTCAGGGAGGCACAGACTCTTTGGTCGTGTCTAGATTTTGGTTTCCCTCCCTTTCAGAAAACAAGCACTCAAAAATACATATTTCTCCTTGTCTCTCACTTTCTCTCCTCCTGCCCTTCCTAGTACTGACTCCCACTGCAACAAACCTTTAGAAACACCTGTTACATGGGGAGGATGTATCCCTTAAACCCTGCTGCTTAAAAGATCTCTCACTTTAAGGAAAAGGCTTTTGTTCCTCAACCAACTCGGATTTCTTGCCTGTTATCTGACATCTAAAGTGTGGAGAGTTTACAGTGGAGGAAGGATATCCTTTTATCTCATCAGCAATGTTTGCCAGAACTCTTTACAAAGAGTAAATAGGTATACAATGCATCCCCTTCCTCATCTGTGATCTGTGGTTTGTAGTTTGCCTGTGTCTGGTGACGGTAGTGGTGTTGGACAAGATGGGGGCAGGATGATCAGTCACCTTTTTCATGGCAGTTGAGCACATGCTGTGACGGGCGTCAGAAGAAGAGGGCTGGGAGGTGGACGTGGAGGGTGTGGTGCTGGAGGAAAGGACCTAAGAAAATAGGAGGCAGAGGCTATGGTGGTTATCCATTTCACCAGAACACACAGATTGAGAGACATTGGAACAAACCAGTATGATGAGAATGATGTTCACGCTCCATTGGTTGCATTATTGTAAAGCGGCTTTGGGTTTTAGAAAAGTGTTATAAAAATGTGATGTATTATTATGGTCCAGGTTGAATGACTTGCCTGGTGAAGGAGTCTAGCTCTTTCCTCTTGAATGGAGAGCAAGCTCCGCCACTGGAACCTGAGTTTCCCGTACTGCCATTGGAGTCTCCTGAGGAGCCTGTCTTCCTTCAGGCCTCCTTGGCCATCCACAGCCCCAAGGGAGCCTCCCTCTCTGGGGCTACTCAGTGAGACCTGAGATAAAGAGGAGAGGAGTGCCTTTACCTCTCCCTCTGACAATCACGACCAAAGGCTTGAGTCTAGAGAGGAAAGGTTTGTCTGGAGAGCACTCCAAAAGACAGATCCATCTCAACATCTTCAAAGTAGAGGGATCATAGGGTAATTACATGGCATGTTTTTTCTCTTTAAATATTCATGGAATTTAGAATGATTTTCAGACGAGGGTGATTGGTGGGGTTTAAGTGTTTAATACCAGAACGTAAGAGACAACTGATTATTTATTTATGCGAAAGGGGGAAAATGTTTTTTGTTCTCTCATCTCCTTCCACTTACAGACATATATTTCTAGTTCTAGTTCTGAGTCAGATGCTCATCATCAGCAGAGCAACACTGCCACCTGCTGGACAGATATGGGACTGCTCCTTCAAATATGAGTGGATTTTATTCAGACATAAAAATATATTTTGTTATAAGACTTATAAGACTTGTATAAGAACCTCACCGTGGGTGGGAGTGAGAGGATATCCAGCTCCAGGGATCTTGCTCTCAGCAGGGCCTCCAGCAGGCTCCCTGAAGACAGCACCCACCCAAACGCCACCAGCAGCTCTCGGCTCCCAACTTCACTCCTGGGACTGAGCCTGGCAGTCGTCACAACAATCCAGCTAGCACCGTAACCACACTGCCAGAGTGCCTCTCTCACATGGCTGTCTGCAAAGACACAATCACAATGATACATTGAAGACAGAGTATAAAATTGACATAATAGCTCAAATTGACACTACTCATACAGCACATGCACTCCTCCATAAACAATTACACTTACCCAAGTCTGAAAGTGTTGTGCAAGAACATTCCAGTAGCAGTGCTTTCAGAAGAACACTATGAAGGAGCTTCCAGAACTCCACCACCTGAAATACCGATTCCAAGGTAAGCAACCACCTGATGACTAAGGTAGATAAACAAATATCCCTCCAGTCATATAGCAAGGCTACGGTCACCTTCGTCCACCTGTCAAAGTAGCCTTATAATTAGGGACAGTGTGTGTCGTTCATATAATATAGCTCTGGTCCAAGCACATGCGTCGTATTCAAATGCAGCCCCAATAACCGACGCGTGGACCAGAGTTTGGCGGAGAGCTCAAAAGTCGTTTATTTTGTATTATTATGAAATGACAGCCTGCACAGACAGAGACATTTTTACCAGCACTAGCAACATCTGTACTTCGGCGAGTTACAAAAGTATATTGAATTCATTCACTAAACAGCGCACAGACAACTCGTTGTTGTCGTCGTGCGATGAACCAGAACCAGCTAGCTAATTTCCTAACTCACCACATCCTCTCCTTTGTTGAACTTGGCCCGTCTGAACGTTTCTGCACTAGGTACACACTCCAAGCCTAGTGAAAATAGAAGTTTACAAAGTGATTCAATCACTTCTTTAGCTTTGACACTCTTTTCACGTTGCATTTCAAGCTTTGTGGATAAGGCGATTCTTCAATTTGCCCGGTGACGCTAAAAACTTCCGGGTAGTACAGTCGTCATAGCTTCACCTCCGCATTTGGGTAAATCTGCACTTCTGATTGGGTAGTAAATATAACGTTAACTGACACTGGTCATATTCAACGAGTGTTTCGTTTTTGTGAATTCATCAGTTATGTTCTGGGAACAAAAGGCCACTCTAAAATGTGCAGTTTTGTCACACAACACAATGCCACAGATGTCTCACATTTTTAGGGTATGTGCAATTTGCATGCTGACTACAGGAATGTCCACCAGAGCTATTGCCAGATAATTGAATGTTCTGAAACAAAGCTGAAAATGTCCCAGTTCTTCCATGGCCTGAATACTCACCAGACATGTCACCCATTGAGCAACTTGGGATGCTCTGGGTCGACGTGTATGACAGGGTGTTCCAGATCCCACCAATATCCAGCAACTTCACACAGCCATTGAAAAGTGGGAAAACATTCCACAGGCCACAATCAACAGCCTGATCAACTCTTATGTGAAGGAGTTGATTCGCACTGCATGAGGCAAATGGTGGTCACACCAGATACTGACTGGTTTTCTGATCCACACCCCTACCTTTTTAAGGTACAGTATCTGTGACCAACAGATGCATATCTGTATTCTCAGTCATGTGAAATCCATAGATTAGGGCCTAACACATGTATTTCAATTGACTGATTTCCTTATATGAACTGTAACTCAGTAAAATCTTTGAAATTGTTGCATGTTGAGTTTATATTTTTGTTCAGTATATTTAGCTACTGTGCTGGACGCCTGAACCAAAACCATTTTCCTGGGTGGACTGCTGCTGTTGCAGCTACATTTCATAGATTTTATATGAACACTGCAGTAACAAGAATAGGTCTACTTATTGTTGGCTTATCAATGTATACCTGAATGGATTACGCCATCAATCAGTGTATGCACATATTTATAATGCGCTCATGAAAGAACCCCAAAAGACATATAGTTAGACAATAGTTTTTAATGCAACATACCAAATTTCAACATTTAAAATGTCATTTAAAAAAATCATAAACATCTCAGTATGTATTCATTTTATACAAACATGCCTAATAATTTACAAATATAAGAAAAAAAATCACTTTACAAAACATTCATGTACTATTAGCTAAGACTAGAGCTATATATATATAGATTTAGTTATTCTTCCATCTTTTTAAAATACAGTATTCATTCATGCCCAGAAAACACTTCAAATTGTTCTCCCCTGGACTTCACCCCGTTTTGTGTGCAACCTCATATTCCTCCTTCATGGCTGCAAACAGGTCTGAAACGTACGTCCTTTATGCACGCAAGCCGAGTGTGAGTCAGGAATCATGTGAAAATAAGACCATCAGCACCCATAGAAAAATTTAAATGTATTTTTTGGAGTAGGGCATCAACAGGCACATAGCCTGCCTTGGTTGGTTGCTTAAAAATAAATACAAAATATCTCGCTCACGAATGGGAATGTAACGTTGTCCCCAGGCTAGAGAGCCGGCTGGTGGACAAGACCAATGGGAATGTAACTTGTACCTTTTAGAATGTTTGTGTAGTTACCCCAGAGGAGGCTGTTTCATACAGTGACATACATACATGACATCAAACGTTGTAACTGTACTGCCTCTTTCGTATTACTTTTTATTTCATGACATCTATTGAGACGTAAAAGTATCAGCAATGTGCTTCTATGAGAGGTCATCTCCCAACCAGTGGAATTAGCTTATTCAACATCTAAAAAGAGAGAAAAAAATGATAATAGGATATTGCCTGGTGGATTGATTCTCAATGATGCTGGTATAGAAACCATTTCAATAAAAACATTCTAAAAACAACAACCTGTAAACTGTAAGAGATGAAATGTAATGTGTTAACTGTCTCCCTCGTCGTCATCATCCGCCTTGATCACTGGGTTCCCTAAAGAGGAGAGAGATGGAGACCAAAGCTGTTAGGATTGTTGACACATCAATAGCAAAAACGACTGAAATAAGCAATGTGAAATGACAGCAGGCTGTTCTATACTGAGCCACACTATCTGAAGATCTGCTCAAAATAGTGTAGTTTGGATCAGCCCGATAGTATGTAAGTAGCTTAGGATGACATCAATACAGTCCTAGGAATATTACATCCTATTAGAGAAAACAAATAGGATGTGGACTGTCTTACCATCTAGTTTCTTCAGCTTGGGCAGCCTCTTGGTGGCCTCTTCTATCCAGTTCCCCTCAGCTGAGTATTTCTCCTCCAGAGGGTTTCCCACAAACACCATGTCCACTAGGGATGGAAGGTCAGCTAGCTTCAGAAACTCAGCTGTAATGGAAAACCACAGTTGTAATGGCGACCATTAAACATGTTATCAGAATTGACTATATTCATGAGGCAGGCATCATAATGAGGATATTACCATTGTAATTACCACTGTTATTCCCATGGTACAATTCACTGAGGTGGGGCATTTTCTCCACAACACAGACACGGAAGTGACTGTGCATGCAACCACAAACATAGTGTAGTGTAGCTAACATCAAAATCAAATCACATTTTATTGGTCGTGTACACAGTTTAGCAGGTGTTATGGCGGGTGCTGCGAAATGCTTATGTTCCTAGTTCCTATCGATCAATGCAATAAATATCAACACACACACACAATAATAACAATTTTAAAACATAATCACAAATTTAGTACAGCAGTAGATATATAAATAGTATGTAAACATTATTAAAGTGACCAGTGTTCCATGACTATGGCAACATGGCACATTCTTTGCCCATGGAAATTAAATCATTGCTTACCCCACTCCTTGACCAGGTTGTTCGACATGTAGAGAACCTTGAGCTTCTTCATAACATGAATTCCTTTGAGCTTCTCTATCAGGTTGTAGGAAATCCAGAGTTCTTCTAGCGTGTCACCAACAGCTTCCTGCAGAGACAGACAGGACAAGCTGAGTAAACATTTACATTTCTTATCCTATGCAAGAACATTCTTGGGCCAAGATTACAACATAGTAACAACTAATATACTATATCACAAAATTGCCATAATCACCAGTCCGTTTAGATTCTTGATGTTGTTCCGTCCCAGTGATAATATCCGTAGGTTTTCTGTGAGATAGAGAAAAGGCATCACACCTCAGCTTTTTAAATTATTACACCTTTCAGAGACACGTTTTTATCTCTCTGTTTACATTAAAGGCCATAGGTGAAGTGTTGTTTCCATGAAGACACATTAGTGTGATGCATACTCACTGAGGCCATTCAAGTTGGCAATTTTCTCAATGCAGTTTGTAGACAGGGACAATTTTCTGTTCAGAAGAACACAGTGACAGGAAGATGAGTGGATAATCAGATTTATAGAAGAAAAGATCAGCAGCCTAACATTCTTATTTATAGAGTGTGTGTGAGTGTGACCACCCTTGTTCTATGAAATGAGGTTTCAGATGGAAGCTGGATAAAGTTTAACAGAGGAGAATCAGATGTATAAATGAAAAGAGCCCCAGATATTCCCATATTGAATTACTATCTTTGTACTATGAAATTAGGTTTCAGACTTAAGAGGGATAAGGTTTCACTCACTCGCAGTTGATGAGGGTGGAGAGAGAAGCATCCATCTTCTCAATAGGAGGAATCTGACCATACAGCTTTACTGCTTTCGCCTCCCCCACCTTCTCTCCTGCCTTCTCCTCCTGTTGAAATCACACAAGGTCGCCAACAAATGTCAGTGGCTGTTCTCCTTTTTAATGTAGGAGAGAGCTAGACTGGTCCAAGATCTGTTTGTGCTGTAATGCCAAATCCTATGGCCATTGCCATGAGAGTTGACAAAACAGCCCAAACAGAACTGATCTGGGACCAGGCTAAGCGAGAGCTCTGATGCACTTACCCATTTGACAAGGGCTTCTTTTATGGTTGTTGGTTTTGCCTGTGACACAATAATACAAACTTTTAGTTCAACTGATAAAATCTCAGTCAGTAGTCATGCAAATCCATTAGCTAATCGTGTAGCTATACTGTTGCAGCTATGACTGGCCTTTGCATAAAATACGTTTATAACAGCGTTATGCCTAGCTTATTTTCATGTTATACATGTTAGCTAGCTAGCTAGCCACTGACAAGCAGCTGTCATTTAGATACTTTCATCATGCACAAATCAATCATTCAGAGCATAGCAAAGCTAACGTAAACAGAACATAGCAGGCTAACGTTAGTTTAGAGTGTCTGTAGCTAACGTTAGGTAGCAAGCTAGCTAACGTTAGCAGTAGCTGGCTAGCCATCTTCACATTTTAGCACGAGTTGATCTATTTCCTAGTTCCTAGCAGACAGGTTGGGAGAGACTATATATGGACACAGCTGACGCTTAAACCTAAAAACCGAACACTGAACCTAAACTTAACCAAACCCTTAACCCTAACCCTTACCTAATCTTGATACATTCTGAAAGGAAATATCGGTTTGGGCGTCAGGCGTGTCCTTATAGCCCTTTCCCAGGTTAACGTTAGCTAACGTCGTTCAGCTAGCTAAAGTTAACGCGTTAGATGGGGCTGAGATTCGTGAGTCGTTCGTGTTTATTTACATTTTACATTTTAGTCATTTGGCAGACGCTCTTATCCAGAGCGACTTACAGTTAGTTAGTGCATACATTTTTTTCTCCATACTTTTATGACTGTAGCTAGCAAACATTTAATCAGTACTATAGCTAAAACGTTAACATTGATTGGGTGAAAACAAAATTGTGAAAAAGTATATTTTTAGCTAGCAAGTCACTGATAGCATTTTAGCAGCTAAACAACTCACCATGTTGTTCTCTCCGGTTGCTATGACACGCACTGAAGCTTCACGAGTCACGACGCATGTGCAAGAGCTCGAGCAATCATCTTTCTCACGCCTTCTTCTCACGCCTCCTTCCCACGCCTCCTTCCCACACCCCCTCCTCCTCCTTCTTCTCCTCTTCTTCTTCTTCTTCTCATTCTTCGTCTTCTTCTTCTTCTTTGGTATTATGGCGATCCGCAAACAAATGTTATAGGTGCATGCCGCCACCTACTGTATTGGCTGTGTATCAGCCTACTATTCTGTAGTATCATTACACTTTCTGAAAAATTGCTATACCAACTAACCCTGCACCCATTAAAACCTCACCACTATTCCACTACTTTGACCCTATCTGATCCTACTCCAGGCCAGCAGCCTGGGAGGACGGGACACTATCGTTCAAAACATCTTCAAATCAAATCAAATAAAATTGTATTGGCCACATGCGCCGAATACAACAGGTGCAGACATTACAGTGAAATGCTTACTTACAGCCCTTAACCAACAGTGCATTTATTTTTAACAAAAAAGTAAAAATAAAACAACAACAAAAAAAGTGTTGAGAAAAAAAGAGCAGAAGTAAAATAAAATAACAGTAGGGAGGCTATATATACAGGGGGGTACCGGTGCAGAGTCAATGTGCGGGGGCACTGGCTAGTTGAGATAGTTGAAGTAATATGTACATGTGGGCAGAGTTAAAGTGACTATGCATAAATAATTAACAGAGTAGCAGCAGCGTAAAAGGATGGGGTGGGGGGGCAGTGCAAATAGTCTGGGTAGCCATGATTAGCTGTTCAGGAGTCTTATGGCTTGGGGGTAGAAGCTGTTGAGAAGTCTTTTGGACCTAGACTTGGCACTCCGGTACCGCTTGCCGTGCGGTAGCAGAGAGAACAGTCTATGACTAGGGTGGCTGGAGTCTTTGACAATTTTGAGGGCCTTCCTCTGACACCGCCTGGTATAGAGGTCCTGGATGGCAGGAAGCTTGGCCCCAGTGATGTACTGGGCCGTACGCACTACCCTCTGTAGTGCCTTGCGGTCGGAGGCCAAGCAGTTCTGATAACAGAATTGACTAGAAAACGTCCTACTTTCCCCCAAACAGACACCGCCCATGCTTCCCATACTGCCGTGCCCCTTCCCCCTTCTTCTTCTTCTTCTTCGTGTGGCTTTCTGGCAGACTAGAGGCTGTGTTGTGTATTGCTGCCTTTCGCAGGTCGGAGTGCGGATTGCACATTTTGGGAAAAGGGGAATGGGAAAAACTTAAATTGCACCACCATCTAACCCTGTACCTATACACTATCCCCAAAACCTACCACCCCATCCCACTACTTGGCGGCAGGTAGCTTAGTGGTTAAGAGCGTTGTGCCAGTAACCGAAAGGTCGCTGGTTCTATTCCCCGAGCCGACTAGGTGAAAAATCTGTCGATGTGCCCTTGAGCAAGGCACTTAACCCTAATTGCTCCTGTTAGTCGCTCTGGATAAGAGCGTCTGCTAAATAATTATAATTATTACTTTGGCCCTAAACAATCCTACACCAGGCCGTCAGCCTGGGAGGATGGAACCCTTCTCTCAAAACTTTCTGCCCCCTCAAACTCTGGTAATCTCAACCTGTCTCTCTCTCACAGGGCACTTTGGATCCCCAACTGCATGGGCAACCCCAAAGTTGACACGGTGCTTTTTCTAGCTGCAACGTGTCTGAATCCTTGGCACCTAAAGCAACGAAGCGGGTTCGGAATATACTGTAGGCCCTCCTTATCAGGTAGAAACTCTATGTCAAAGCTCAACAAGACAGACAGGGTATTCTCAGTCTCACCATTGCCACCGGGTCTACGTCTCAACAAACAGCGGGCATCACAAACACTAGGAATATTCCTTTTCATTTGATCCACCTCAACATTCAACACTACCCCACTGATCACCCCTTTTAGTGGAGCCCTGCTCCGGAGAGCAAAGCACACCACAGGTTAAGCCCTGAGCCGCGTGACTTGGACCGCCCGCACAAAAAAACAGAAAAAAAAAAAGATATCACTTCTCGAAACATTCACAGATGTAACCATTCCCAGTTTGTCCTTCACCCAGCCCAACACAATGTATGGGTCGGCCAAAAATCAGGAATCCACTCTTTCCAAAAATCTAATTCCTACCGGTCCACAATCATCTCTGGTAGGATTCTCAGGACAAATGTTGGAAGTCTCCACTACACCTGTCGCCGCAGGTAGGCCTACTTCATCCTGGACTGGCTCAACCTCAGAGCGCTCACCACTGTCGTCTGACTCCATTTAAAGATCATCAAGGTTCTCAAGAGAGTATGAAGACCTACAAGTCATATTATTTAGTTTGTAATCAGGAGATGTAGGTAAGTACACCTTGAACGAAGGTGTTAGGTGAATACTCAGGAGACGAATCTCTGATCTTAACAGTGCCATTCTTATGTTTTCGCATCATCACACTTCCTTCCTTCCACCTTTACTCCACACACAGAGACGCATACAAAGCTCTCCCTCGCCCTCCATTTGGCAAATCTGACCATAACTCTATCCTCCTGATTCCTGCTTATAAGCAAAAACTGAAGCAGGAAGCACCAGTGATTCGGTTAATAAAAAAGTGGTCAGATGACGCAGATGCTAAGCTACAGGACTGTTTTGCTAGCACAGACTGGAACACGTTCCGGGATTCTTCAGACAGCATTGAGGAGTACACCACATCAGTCACTGGCTTCATCAATAAGTGCATCGATGATGTCGTCCCCACAGTGACCGTACGTACATACCCCAACCAGAAGCCATGGATTACAGGAAACATCCGCACTGAGCTAAAGGGTAGAGCTGCCGCTTTCAAGGAACGGGACTCTAACCCGGACGCTTATAAGAAATCCCGCTATGACCTCCGACGAACCATCAAACAGGCAAAGAGTCAATACAGGTCTAAGATTGAATCATACTACACTGGCTCTGACGCTCGTCGGATGTGGCAGGGCTTGAAAACTATTACAGACTACAAAGGGAAGCACAGCCGCGAGCTGCCCAGTGACACAAGCCTACCAGACGAGCTAAACCACTTCTATGCTCGCTTCGAGGCAAGCAACACTGAAGCATGCATGAGAGCACCAGCTGTACCGGATGACTATGTGATCACGCTCTCCGTAGCCGATGTGAGTAAGACTTTTAAGCAGGTCAACATTCACAAGGCCGCAGGGCCAGACGGATTACCAGGACGTGTACTCCGAGCATGTGCTGACCAACTGGCAAGTGTCTTCACTGACATTTTCAACATGTCCCTGACTGAGTCTGTAATACCAACATGTTTCAAGCAGACCACCATAGTCCCCGTGCCCAAGAACTCTAAGATAACCTGCCTAAATGACTACCGACCCGTAGCACTGACGTCTGTAGCCATGAAGTGCTTTGAAAGACTGGTCATGGCTCACATCAACAGCATAATCCCAGAAACCCTAGACCCACTCCAATTTGCATACCGCCCCAACAGATCCACAGATGATGCAATCTCTATCGCACTCCACACTGCCCTTTCCCACCTGGACAAGAGGAACACCTACGTGAGAATGCTATTCATTGACTACAGCTCAGCATTCAACACCATAGTGCCCTCTAAGCTCATCACTAAGCTAAGGATCCTGGGACTAAACACCTCCCTCTGCAACTGGATCCTGGACTTCCTGACGGGCCGCCCCCAGGTGGTAAGGGTAGGTAACAACACATCTGCCACACTGATCCTCAACACGGGGGCCCCTCAGGGGTGCGTGCTCAGTCCCCTCCTGTACTCTCTGTTCACCCATGACTGCATGGCCAGGCACGACTCCAACACCATCATTAAGTTTGCCGACGACACAACAGTGGTAGGCCTGATCACCGACAACGATGAGACAGCCTATAGGGAGGAGGTCAGAGATCTGGCCGTGTGGTGCCAGGACAACAACCTCTCCCTCAACGTGACCAAGACAAAGGAGATGATTGTGGACTACAGGAAAAAAAAGAGGACTGAGCACGCCCCCATTCTCATCGACGGGGCTGTAGTGGAACAGGTTGAGAGCTTCAAGTTCCTTGGTGTCCACATCACCAACGAACTATCATGGTCCAAACACACCAAGACAGTCGTGAAGAGGGCACGACAAAGCCTATTCCCCCTCAGGAGACTGAAAAGATTTGGCATGGGTCCTCAGATCCTCAAAAAATTCTACAGCTGCACCATCGAGAGCATCCTGACTGGTTGCATCACCGCCTGGTATGGCAACTGCTTGGCCTCTGACCGCAAGGCACTACAGAGGGTAGTGCGTACGGCCCAGTACATCACTGGGGCAAAGCTCCCTGCCATTCAGGACCTCTATACCAGGCGGTGTCAGAGGAAGGCCCTCAAAATTGTCAAAGACTCCAGCCACCCTAGTCATAGACTGTTCTCTCTGCTACCGCACGGCAAGCGGTACCGGAGTGCCAAGTCTAGGTCCAAAAGACTTCTCAACAGCTTCTACCCCCAAGCCATAAGACTCCTGAACAGCTAATCATGGCTACCCGGACTATTTGCACTGCCCCCCCACCCCATCCTTTTTACGCTGCTGCTACTCTGTTAAGTATTTATGCATAGTCACTTTAACTCTACCCACATGTACATATTACCTCAACTACCTCAACTAGCCGGTGCCCCCGCACATTGACTCTGCAACGGTACCCCCCTGTGTATATAGCCTCCCTACTGTCACTTTATTTTACTGTATATATAGCCTCCCTACTGTCACTTTATTTTACTTCTGCTCTTTTTTTCTCAACACTTTTTTTGTTGTTGTTTTATTCTTACTTTTTTTTGTTTAAAATAAATGCACTGTTGGTTAAGGGCTGTAAGTAAGCATTTCACTGTAATGTCTGCACCTGTTGTATTCGGCGCATGTGACCAATAAAATTTGATTTGATTTGATTTGATTCCTGTGTCTTACCTCGCCCCTTCACAAAAATATACATTTCTATCCCATTCTGTGTAGGAGGATATCAGTGGATACATATGTAACAATGTTGTATTTATTTTGATGGTTTGTTTACTTATTAAACTGAAAGGAGCGTTTATATCTTTCATTTTGAACATTAACATTTAAACTGTG